CACTATGAAAACAACTACGTAATACCATGTTCTGACGAACATTCAAACAACGTAGTTCGCTCTCAGAATTACCTACATTAACAGCCTGTTTTTGTAAAAATTCCAAACGAACGAATTCGAGTGACATAAGTATGATTTTCTAAAATTTAATTTTAATCAAATTGTACCATTTAGACAAGTTAATTTAATTTTATTTTAGTACCATGTAATACAAATAATTACGAATCAAATCTACCTCCATGTCTTAATCCTACTCTCCAACATTAATTTTAATTCCAAACTTCAGGATGCCCGTCCCATCTGTTCACAGAGAAACAAATTGTATCATAATTAGTACAATTTAGTACAAATTTCAAAAATTACCTTAATCCTACACACTAACAATAGTCTAAATTCCAAATTTCAGGATACATACAAAATTTAGTCAAGTTTAGTACTTTTCGTACACGAATTCCAAATCTCATTATTCCAAACTTCTACCTTCTGGTGTTTCGTCTGGACGATGATCTGTAACGTTAAATTACAGCTGAATTTGAAAATATTTTATTTTTTGCCGTTTTCAAGACATTACAATGTTACCTATTATCCGACGGGGGGTACAAAAATATTCCACTGGCAAAATGTCCATATATTCAAGCGAATACATATATTCAAGCGAATAATACAAACCGCAAAACAAATTAGAAAATTGAATTGAATGTTTTGCACCCATCATAAGTACACTGGTCGTTATTCGACAACTTTCGAATTTCGAGATTTTAGACCGAATATGAAGATTCTTTTAGCTTTTCAAACGATCCTACACTTTGTAAAATAATCTCAGTGGCTCTAATAAGATGAGTGAGGGGAGTTATCGACACTTTCTGACTTAAATGTGAAATAGCTCAACCAAAATACGCTAATTGCAATAAAAACCTCCAAGAATATTGACAAATTAGCCAAAAGATCTTCCAGAGAGCGAATAATACAACAATGTATGGGAAAATTCAAGAAATTTTCTCAAGGTGACAAATTTACTTTAACTAGACCAGGGTGCGAAGAATGATTAAAATACACTCTTTCTCACGGGCGAGAATTCGAAAGTTTTCAATTTATCGCGAATGATAAAGTTACAATAAATGAACAAGCATTTGTAATCTCTCGCGAATGTTCGCATTGTACAAAAAATTCACGAACAATAAAATTTCGCTGCAAGCATCGTCGATTCATTCTTTCGCGATTTGTTGCTGAAGAACATTCTTTTGAAAACTTCAAAGAAGAAATGTTCGCGAATGCTCGCGAGCACAGTTAAAAACAACAACAAACAAAAATATCATAAAAAAGTAAACACACCAACAACGAAAGAATATGTGTGTAGCAGAAAGTGTGTGGAATAACAAAACACATGTCCAACAACTATTGAGTTCACGAACGTTTGTTGTTATTGTTGTTGCCGTTTTGAACATTCGCGAGAATTCGGAAGTTTTTGTTTTCATTCGTGAGAGAATATCAGAAAGAATTTCAACCAGTCGCTCATCAACATCTGTTGACATTAGACTACTCGCGCTGGTCGCTCATTACCTCTCTGCGTATACGGCAACAGCAACAACAAAGCAAATGTTATTTTTTTAAAAAAATTAATTAAACAATATAAAAAGCATAAAGATGGGGTGAGTTCGTGAAACTCCTCCACCGCCTGCTCCCCCTCCTCCATTGGGGGAGAAAAATAAAAGAAGAGCTCGCAGTATTGTAAATGAAACAAAAACTTTCAAAAACTGTAATGGAACTCCGGTTAGAAATCAAATCACCAACACAAACTCAGAACCGCCATCAATCACTCAATCAGAAAATGAACATATTTATAATTCTTTAAATGAAGGAACCATTTTATATCCTCAATATCATCCTGGCCCTTTCTTTGTATTGGTGTCATCAGAAATACCAATCAATACAAGAAGAAAAAATTGCGAATTACAACTTTATGCCAGATTTTAAGAAATTAACATCACTGATTATGCCTGTAAAAATATTGGTTACAACACTTTCCTCCTAACTTTTAATAATGCAAATACAGCAAACACTTTTGCGACAAACCCAGATCTAAACAAAATTGGCCTCAAAGCTTTCATTCCAGAAAGATTTGTGCAACGTTTTTACATTATTAGGAATGTGCCCAAAAGTATTTCTGCGATCACAATTAAGCAGCAAATTGAAGCTAACAATGATATGGATGTAGTGTCTGTCTATCGCTTTACAAGGAGAAATGAAGAAAACAAAACTGAATATACCGAAACAATCAAAATTGGCATTATATAGGATGGTGTACCCACTGAAATACTTATGTGTGGTACTAAAATTTCCCCATAGGTGTATGTACGTCGTTCTCGTCTGCGTATAAAAATAAAACACAAAAATATCACGACTGTCGTTCAACAACAACATGCAAAGATGAATGCGGTCCACCGCAATGTATTATTTGTAATGGTACTAATCACTGTGCAACTGACCAGAAACTTTGCCCAAAATGGAAAGCTGAAGAAAACATAAATAGCATAATGGCTCTCACCAATCTCTCAAGAAGAGAAGTCATTAGTAAATATCCAGAAACACAGAATTACTACCAAATTCTCTCTGAAGATCAATACAACAATGCATTTCCTTAATCAGTAAAAACAAAGCACCAAAAAGAACTGTTCATGATGAAATAAATAGGAGAGTTACAAAAACAAAATATAGCAAAATTGCGTCTCCTCGAATTTACGCACATCATGCCGTTGCCAGTCCTCTCCAATTAGCTCCGTCTAAACCCATCTTCGAACAAGCAAATTTCTCCAAAGTATCTGAAATAGAAAGAATGCTTTCAAATTTTGCTAATGAAATGTCGAAAGTACTTACCTCACTTAACAGCACCGAAGGTCTAAATATCCTAAGAAAATTTCAGCAATCGTTACTGCCATCAGTAACAGACAGCCCATGTCTGGAAACCAACAGTATAGACCCAAATAACACGCAACCTAAAAAGTAAAAACAAAAATAAAACAATACCATTTCAACATGATCTTATTACAATATAATGTACAAAGTTTGCCAAAAAACAAAAACTGTCTTGAATTCTATCTTAAAAAAATAAAAATAGAAATATGTTTCCTGAGTGAAATATTTAACATAGACGAAAGTCAAAACCTTACCTCTATTAATAACTACAAAATCGAATCAAAAAAGAAGTGATAACTATGGTGGCGTAGCCATTCTTTTTAAAAACAATATAAAATACAAAAAAATTCCATTCGAAACTTCTCTCGATATTATCATTTGTCAAACGACCAATTTATCAAATAATCTAACCCTAGTGTCTACTTATTTTCCTCATTCGGTCAAATGCGCGACAATAAGATCTGAGCTCATTAAACTGGTATCATTTTTGGACAACCAATCAAATACTTTTATATGTGGTGATTTTAATGCCCGACATTCAGCGTATGGTGATACATTTGTTTCACAGCGTGGAAAAATTATCAAAGAAATCTTTGACCCCTCAAACTTCCGGTGTCTAAATGACGGCAGCTATACCTTCAAGAAAAGCATTAACGATTTGAGGGGATCGGTTCTGGATCTTTCCTTTACAAATTCAACCTTACCCATTCATTGGAAAAATCTTAAAACCAGCGGAAATCAAAAAATCCACATACACAATAAAGGATAATGCGACTCCAAAAACCTGGTGGGATCCTTATGTTGAAAAACAATACAGACTACAACTCGCGGCACAAAAATCTTCGATTTAGATAACAACGATTCCAATGCAAAAATTTTAATTCAAAGAATTAAAAATTTCAAAAATGCAGTTAAATTTGCCAAAAAACACTCTTTTGAAAGCAAAGTACAAAACCTAAATAAAGAACCAAGTTCCAAATCACTTTTTCAATTTGTACGAGGGTGTAAGAAGAGCTTATCCTCAAACAGCAATAATAAATGGTCTCAAAACAACAACAAACAGTTTCTATCTCACCTCAGAGATCAAGTCTCTGATAATACACCAACCAATTTTACTTTTTCATCTCGAGGCACTCGCTCCAATCTGACAATGGATTCGTTTTTATCAGTTTTAAACAACAAAAAAAGACCCTCAGCTGCAGGTCTCGATGGCATCACCTACGAAATGATAAATCATCTACCGGATTCTGCGAAGGCAAATCTTTTTGATGCAATAAACTCTGTATGGCAAAAATGCGAAATTAATGAAGATTGGAGGAAAATCAAAATTGTACATATACCAAAAAAAGGCAAAGACCTGGAAATTTTTACAAACTTCAGACCAATAGCGCTCATATCGGTACCCTTTAAAATCACAAATCTAATGGTTAAAGAACTTCTGCAAAAAATTATTGATGAAAATAACATTTTACCTCACAATACCTATGCATACAGGAAACATCTGTCGTCCTCAATGTGCATCAATAGTCTACTGTACACGATAAACTATCACAAAAGTAAAGGAGAGAAAGTCATTGTTCTTTCATTAGACGTAGAAAAAGCATATGACTGTGTCAGAATCGAAATCCTGATAAAAATTCTATGCGAGATAAATTGTCCGAACGAAATCACTGAGTGGATAATCAACTTCCTGAGCCGAAGAATCTTAGTTATGGGAAAAGAGTCAATAGAAATCTACAATGGACTACCTCAAGGCAGTTGTTTAAGCCCTCTTCTTTTCAATATTTATACTCTTGGCCTACATGGAATATGTAATAACAGTACATATTTGTTCCAATTTGCGGATGATTTTATTCTCCTATCAGCACAAAAAGACTTGGAGTCTGCCAATAAAAACCACAACTAAAAGCCATGGAATTCTATCAGTTGCTATCACGACTGAATTTAAGATACAACTCAGACAAAACGGTTACCATGTATCATTGCTACCCAAGATTGCAATAAATTGAAATTTATCACAACCAATCCACAACCCACCTTTTAACTTACTGGTCCACATTACCCACCAAGTTGTTTTTATTCGCAGTCTTGATTTTTTTTTAAATATAATGCAATAAGATTTTTATAGTCAAATATATATCATATCAATATCAAAGCGTTCAAAAATAGAATGCAAATGTCGGAAATTATAAGCAATATATTTGGGTATACCATATTTCATAGTTTTAAAGAAAAAATATAAGCATGGAACATGGAAGTAGTCATCAAAAGAACATCCAAGAAACTCTTTCATAAAAATTATAGTTACGATTGCAGTGTTTTCCATAAACGTATTTTAAAACACTATGAAAACAACTACGTAATATCATGTGTTTAAGCAAGAATGGCTGTTTAAAATAGTTAAATAGTTTGCCTTTAATTTGAAAGGGCGTAGCCGTTGAAATCTGTCTACTCCTCATTATTACATCCTTGTAATAGTATGAGGCTGACAGATTTCAACGGACTTTTGTTTACATTTTAAGTTTGCGCCACCTTTAGGCATCTTTGTGTCAACAACATTGTTATTTGTATTACTTGTTTAACTCTCGTTGTAACCTTTCTACTGGCCACACATATTGTTGTGAACACTTAGGCTTAAATTCTAAGCAGCGCACATATCGTTGTGCTAAAGGTAATATCGTTTACCAACAATAAATATCGGCATTGGTCGAACCTTTTCTAAAACTACCGTATTTTATTTATTTTTATTTACATATCTTTATTGTTGCTCACGAGTACGCATTGGGCGTACTGACTCTATTGGGAGACAACACTATTGCACTGTACCTGCCAACCACCAAGTCCCTATAGTGCGGACTTAACATTTGGTCCAATCGATCCGGATTTTGCAGCTGGAATTGGAATTATATACAGTCCACCTAAACCTAAATATATTTATCTTGGTACGTATAGTGCAAGTGAGCAATTACAATAAAAAATAAAGTGTTTCGTTTGTTTGTGTGGCCGTCATTACAACGCGTCACGGATTCCCTCCTTTTGTTGACGATCGGTCAAAGTCCATTCGCGGACAACCATACGGGAATATTAAAAACAAAACAAAAAGTAATAATTCTTCTTCTTTATATTTGGTTACTTTTTGTTTTTCTCTAAATTCGTAGAGAAATTATCGTTCACATTCCATAATTTGTTGTTGTAAAATTAGTGGAAGAACTTATTTTCTATTGTTACATCTCGATCATATTGCTTTGAATATTTTCGTTTACAAAAATACACAATAATATTTTCATATATACGCGTGTGACATACGTACGTTTACAGCCTATTCGTACGTATTGTTACATACTCCAGCATCGTCGCTTTGTTGTTCTGGCTAGTTGGTCAGCCAGTCGCTTGTATGAGAATAAATACACACACGCATGTAAGCATACATACTGCATTTTCGCTAATTCCCTTTTCTGTTGTGTCCGTTTTATTGCACGGTCTCCGGCCACTGTATTATTACACAGTCCCCGGCTGGTATATTAGGACAGTGACACATAATATTATATTTTATGGTAAATATAATATTTGTGTCAGGGAATAATATTTACATAATTTTGGACATTTTAAAATCCAGCGCACCCTACAATCGGTCAATTGGACTTTTGTATAGTGTAGGGTGCTTATTTAGCATATTGTTGCCTATTAATAATTTATTCGATTTTTATAACTTATTTTTGTTTCATTGTGCATATAGTTGCATATTATTTATTTTTTTTTTTTTGATTTTAATATTTGTTGTGAATATTTTTATGCCCTACAATCGGTCGTTTGGACTTTTGTATTGTGTAGGGTGTATATTTGGCAGATCGTTGCATATCGATTTTGTGTAAATATTAATAATTTTTTGCATTTTATAGCAATTTTATTATAAAAACGCTACATTCGGTAGCTTCTTTATTTGATTTAATAATTTATACGCTACAATTGGTAGTTAGTTTGTTGACTGTCAGCTATAATTGATAGTTGTTTTTGTGGATTTTCTCCAAAGTTATCCTCGATGTTTGTGTATTTTCACCATTGTATTTAAAACTTAAAGCAATTCCCGTGAGATTTATTGATATCTAGATATATTTTATTCAAATTTATATAATCTAATTAGCTTTTTGGTTTTAGAGTCGTTAATTTAAAAAAAAAAAATTGTTAATTTTGACATATTTTTTGAATTATTATTTAACTTTTTGAAAGTTTTTATCGTTTTTGTGTAAATTTCAGTTGATTTCGACATATCTTTTGTCTTTTATTCTCCACTGGCCTTTTTGTTTGAACTTAGAATTATTTCATATTTTTTGTTAATTTGATAAAAATGGCTTTCACCCCTATGAATTTATTTATCCGTGCTTCCACCTCTATTGTGAGATTCACTGCACACTTCGGTGCATTGAAGGAAGAAGAATTGGATATATATGATCTTGAGGTTAGAAGTGAAGAAATTAAAAAATTGTGGAAATCGGTCGAGGAAACTTTTAATAATTGTCTCTCCCACATTGAAAATCCTGAAGAGCTTGATATGCTATATAGTAAATATGAGGTTTCGTTTAAAGAATATATGCGTTGTTCTTCGGTTATAAAAAGAATGTTATCTAAGTTAAGGAGTTTGAATAAATTGCCTCTTAACTCTTCTCATAGGAGTTCGGTAGAGTCGTTAACGGAAAATCCCGACAAAATTTCTTCGGAAAACCTCTCGGTAGATGCCACCGTTAAAAACGTGAGCTCTTCGTCCCACACTTCATGTGATGTGGGAACACAGGCATCTAGCTCCACAATAATGAATATTGAGAAAACTAGAATATGCCAAAGCTTTGTCGTAGAGCCTGCAAAAAGAGATAACCTTCATAATCTTGCGATTCCTCCCTGCAGTATCGAAATTTTCAGTGGAAATATTATTGATTGGCCCACATTCAGAGATTTATTTAGTGCGGTTTATATTAATAACTCCCGACTGACAGACATTGAGCGTCTATGTCATCTGGTGAGTAAAACTAGTGGTGAGGCTCGAGAAATCGTCTCGAAATTTCCTCTAACTCATCGGAGTTTTGAACCTGCGTGGAATGCCTTGAATTCCACGTATGATAATCCACGGCTTATTGTCCATAGCCATTTGAAAATGTTGTTTGGCCTTCCTGTGCTGGATCAGGAAAGTAGTTCAGGACTTAAGTCACTTCAACGCGGAATTAATAGTTGTCTTTCCGCAATGGCAATTTATAACATACCAACGGAAAATTGGGATCCGATTGTGGTATTTATTTGTTTGCAAAAATTACCCAAATTGACACACGCTTTATGGGAGCAAAGTGTAAAATCCAAATCGTCTCTTTCATCTTGGAAAGAGTTAGATGCATTCTTGACAGAGAGAATTCGTACTCTTCTGTGTTTGCATGAAATGAGAAATGTTAACACTGTGTCAAAATCGAAGAAAAGAAAAAGTTCCTTTTCATCTCCATGTGCAACTTCTACTCCTCGTTCGTCCTCTGATTCTTGTTGCGTTCTTTGTTCAGAGCAACATACACTATATTATTGCTATCGGTTTTTAAATTGTACACCTGCCGATAGATTTAAATTAGTCAAGAGGCATCGTTTGTGTGTAAATTGTCTTCGTAGGGGACACGAAGTCAAAAATTGTAACAGTCGTACTTGCCGAAAGTGCAATCAGAGACATCATACTCTATTGCACAGAGATAGCTCTATAGTGAGCACTCCGAGTCAGATGGTGACTCCCACAAATTCCAATCTATCGTCTTCGGCTCCTACCTTTCGACCCCGAAGTTTGAATAATTGTTCGTCCTCCTCCACTATGATTGATCCACCCGCATCGCACATTGCTATTCGACAAACATTTCACGCCACGCAAAACAAAGCAGTTCTATTGGGAACAGCCATGGTCAATATTGTTAATCATGGTGCTTGTTTTCCTGCTTGAGCGTTAATAGATCCGGCTTCCGAGTCGTCCTTCATTTCTGAACGGCTTCAGAAGAAATTGAAATTACCGGTTAAACCCACAATTTCGACAATTCGTGGAGTAAATAGTACGGTTGCCACAACTTGTCGAAAAATATGTTCATTTAAAGTGGGTAGTTGTCGTAATAGGTCTCACAGTTTGGAAACGTCAGCATTAGTAGTAGATTCCATATCGGGAAATCTTCCAACCTGTTCGGTTACTTCGGACCTTAAATCGGTTTTGTCAAATATAGTTTTGGCGGATCCTCAATTCTTTGAATCTCGTCCAGTAGATATTTTGATAGGAGCAGACTTGTATCCAAAAATCATACAAAATCATAGTTTTCGACTTTCGTCTGGATCGCTGCTCGCTCAAAATACAATATTTGGCTGGATAATTACTGGTCATATAAAATAATTGTTTTTCGTAAATCGTACGAAATCGTTGTAAGGCGGCCCTCAATAAACAACACACAATTTGGCTCACATATCGCGGGGTCCCTAATGGCCCTTTCGTTCCGCGGGGTCCCTAATAGCTCTATCGTTTCGCGGGGTCCCTAATGGCCCTTTCGTACTACAGGTCCTTTCTGCCCTCACACAACCGCGGGGTCCCTAATGGCCCTTTCGTACAATAGATCCTTCATGATCTATGTAATCGTGGGGTCCCTAATGGCCCTTTCGTTAGCAAGTAAGATTGTTATTTGAAAAAAGTAAAAAAAAAGAATGATGGAAAAAATATTTGAAAAAATGTAAAAGGTTTTGCTCACCATGCACTATGCCGTTTTTTATAATTTATTGTATTTGTTAAAACATATGGATGTTTCAAGGGAGGCGGCAAATGTTTAAGCAAGAATTGCTATTTAAAATAGTTAAATAGTTAGCCTTTGATTTGAAAGGCAATAGCCGTTGAAATCTGTTCACTCCTCTTTATTACATCCTTGTAATTGTATGAGACTGACAGATTTCAACGGCCTTTGTTTACATTTTTGAGTTTGCGCCACCTTAAGGCATCTATATGTCAACAAACATTGTTATTATTACGTATTACTTGAGTACTTTCGTCGTTACTGACTGGCCACACATATTGTTGTGACTTGGCTTAAATTGTAAGCTGCGTACATATCGTTGTACATCAAGGTAATATCGTTACC